AAGAAGAAGAAGAAGAAGAAGAAGAAGAAGAAGAAGAAGAAGAAGAAGAAGAAGAAGAAGAAGAAGAAGAACCAAGCAAGAAAGAGAAAGAAAGAGATAAGAGATAAGAAAAAAAATAAGTAAGGGGGGAAAGTAGAGAAAACCGATAAGAGAAAAGAGAAGAAAAAAAATGGCGAGTCCAAGGTAACCCAACGTAACCTAGGATTAATATTATCCATCGGCCTGTTTATCAGACGTAAGTCCATCTGAGCGTCTTTATCTGATCCCATTGCACCGGATGCTTCAAACGCATGTGATTCCTCACGCTGTTGGGATGAGAGAACGTTTTCGCGCACGAGGCAACGGGACAGGTTGGCGAGTCGCGCGGATAATGATGCTCCAAGTGAGCCCTCATCGTGCTGATGTCCTGCAACGTCCTACAACAAAGGGGACACCTGTAACCGTGCTGTTGATGATGATCGCGTATCATCTTCTGTTGCCTGTAGTCGGCCGGGCTCCGTTGATACTTGGTCGTGGTAGTGTTGGTGGTCGACGCGGTGGTCGTCGACTGGTCTTGCTGTTGCTGTTGCTGCTGCTGCTCGTCTTCCTGTAGCGCCTGATGATGATGGTGGTGAGGAGGAGGAACGGATAGTGGATGATGATGACGATGCCGATGATGTTGCTGGTGATGGCTGTGGTGGTGGTGGTAAGCCGCGCCCTCTGCCTCATCGAGCCCGTGATCTGCAACCACCACCACACCAACGTTACCACCAGCCACCACCACCATAAACTCAAACCCAACCCCTAATAAAAACAGAGAGTACCAAAGCGCGCGAATACGCGTTCCACCCTACACCCACCCGCAACATCCCCATTGATTCATGCGGAATATCTAGAGAGGAGGTTACATCTCCCGCAAATGGTTACCGGTTACCGGTATATATATATATATATCCGACGGATCGCTAATTGCTCTCTCTCTGCTCGATATCGCGCGCAATTGGCAGACAGAGGACTCCATGGAATTCGTGCAATCATCGCGTAAATCGAATACTAGTACGGCAGAGATGCTTGAACGTGTCCAGGCAGAATCTCACGTGCCAGATTATTAGGGGCGGGGGGCAGAAACGTTCGATTCTCTCTGTGAATGTTCTCTGTGTGGTATATATTTGTATGCGTGGGGTGGCTGAGCACGGACGCTTCTTCGGATATTACATTTCCAAGGATAAGAACTGGACACGCGTTTTGGCTCGAAGGTGGCGAAGGAGGTGTGTAAGCGTGTGTTCTTTGTTATAACTCGGAAAATACCTCATTTCCATCATTGCGCAAACGATCGAGCGAATACATTGCGTCCCACTCGATAATAGATATTTCGTGCCATGCGATTGTTCTTTTCTTACTTTCTTGCCGGAAATTTTATTACGGATATCTCCTATATATATGTACCTTGTCTTTCGTAAATACGGTATTGTAATCTCTCTCTCTCTCTCTCTTTCTGGAACGTTGCCTCGGTTACAGTCACATAAAATCATCCGATTCCTCTTTCGCGAACGAAATTCCCGATCACTGCCTCGGCTAATCTTCTCGTTTAAACTCTATAGAAAATAGGAATATCTGAATTGTGATCTCGATGATACAGGATATTACACGCTTCGGACGTCACGCGTTTCAACTTTCTTCAACGATGTATAAATAGTGTAATAGAAATAACCGGGTATAACACGATTCGCCCAGTTTTCTCCGATATTCCACTTCTCGTAAAAATAACGCGAGGATAATTCCAATTCCAAATCGAATCGATCCCGAATAATTTTCATCGCGAATATGGATACACCGATCCATTCCAATTCGAAAATAACCCGACCGAGAACTCGGATTCGTTTCGATACCGAACAAGGCTATCCTGTATCGACGAGAGGCGTGCGGGAACGACCCCCGACTTCATCTGGTCGCGGATCGTTTCTCATGGGTGGTGTTCGACGACGACGACGACGACGACGTGGGAATGGCGGAGCACGAGGAGGATTGTACTCATGGCAACGAGGAGGACGAAGAGGGCGACTGATGCTGTTGCTGATTAGGATTGTTCAGGTTTGGCCGTTGGTGTATCCCGTGCGCCTGAAGCTGATGATTGATCAGGTAATGCTTGGTCTTGCACCGTTTCCCGCACACGTTGCACTGCGGCCACGTCTCCGGGGGCGGCCAATTCGAGTGGACATTTTTCACGTGTTGTCGAAGGTTGCTCGGTGACGAGTAGCTTCTGCCGCAGTAACGGCAGAGAGGCCTAGCATCGTCGTGGCGCAGTGCCGTGTAGAGTCTCGCGAAATTCTCCACGGCTGCCGTAGTTTCGTTGGCGGCCGCAGCCACCGCCGCCAACGCGGCTTCCTCCCTCTTCGGCATCACCGATCCTACAACCAGGACGTGCCCGTCAGTTGATTCTGTCCGTCTTTCTCTCTCTTTCGTTTCTTTCTTTTTCACTCATCCCTTCCCCTCTCTCTCTTTCTCTCTCTCTCTATCTCTCTGTTTCTTCCTCTATCTTACATACATACTCATTCGCTCGCTCATTTTTTCATTCCCCACTTCTCTCACTCTCCCTTGCACTCACGACTTATTTCTCTCCGTCGTTCATTCCTTCTTTTTCTAACTGCCGCCCGCCGCATTTACTCTTCTCTCTTTCTCTTCACGCGTACAATCGTACACAAGTCGCTCCTTCTTACGTACATTCACACACGTTGAGCCTCTCTCTCTCTCTCTCTCTTCTCTCTCTCTCTACACCACACACACC